ATATTTTATGCTATATAGACCTACCACATTACCCTCCACTGGATGTAGAATGAGCAGCATTAAACTACATTTTGGCATTTTATAATACTTCTGTGGATATTTTGGTGAAAGTAACTCAAAAGTAGTGTAACACATTACAATTTAGAAACAGTAATATTGTAATGTAACTAATTACTTTCAAAAGACAGTAACTAGTAATATATAATGCATTACATTTTGGAAGTAACTTGCCCAACACTGTCAATAAATAAAGGGGTCTGATATTGAAAGAAATAAAGGGGGCGCTGTCATTGCCTTTGTTAAATAAAAGCTTTGATCAGATAAACAAACAGGTAACAAATAAAGAACAAAAAGAATTCTAGCAAATTAAAAAAAAAAAGAAAACATTGTAAACCACCTTAAAAAAACGAAAAGCTTTGCTACTTTAGTGTGGCATTCTAGCAATAATATATTAACAATACACAAAACGGATTTACAAAGTCAAATGTGAGAACAAATAGAGATATGGAGAACAAATAAATGGCAGGGGAGTCTATAAAATTTGCATAAATGTAATCATTCATTTTAAACTACAGTTTTAAAATGTTCAGCATCTGCTGTATAAAACTACACTATATGTTTAATAGGCTAAAGTGTAAAGCCAGCAGCTGGAGTAAGTTGTGAGGAAATTGATGAACAAAACCGCGAATATGTAATTGGAAATACAGAGTCTGTCTTAACTGGCATGTTATCAGAAATATTAATAGTATTTTCATCTGTCTAGATTATGAAATACTTGCTGACAGAGTGCAGTTTTTAATTATGCCTTTACATAGTACATGGATGCTTGTTAACGAAATAAAGATTGTTTAGTACATGTTAATGTAATTTAGGGAGTCTTGAGCGAGTGGATCTTGTTAAAAGCTACTTACAGTGGCCGAACTGCAACATGCTTGAGCATCAACCCAGTGAGTGAATGGGACTCATAAACGGCAGCTTTACAAGAATATATTGCATAAACAACAGAGAGAGTTAAAGTAAGCTGTTTTGTTTCCAACATGCACTTGTTTAAGACTGTCTTATTTAACTCATGTAAAGTAACATCTTTGGGCATGTCTATGGATTGCATGAGTCTCCTTGAGTTTATCTCTATTTCTCAATGCCAAGCTTAAACTACATATCAATTTATGTAACACATCTCATTTGTGCATTATTGGATGATATGTTAAAGTAGAACAATTAAAGCAAATCAAGTTATTTTGCCTGTAAACACAGTTGTTGACTCATCTCTCCTCAAGATGCAGAGGTCTTGCTCGCAATTCTCAAAACGGTGTATCCGATATTACAAAACGATGTCTGTTAATGAAAATGGGCTTAAATATGGGGAAAACCGATTTATCTGTCGATCTCTACTCTAGACTTTTGTCATGCCTCTTTGACTTGAACGTTGTTCCATGCGCCACCAGGTGGAGATTGAGTGAAGCACAACAAACTTACTTAAATTCTAAGAAGCGTGCCTGCTGGGCACTCCATGATCACATGTGACGAAGTAAGAAATGCACACTTTTACAAACTGCAGCACTCAAAGGCCACATCTGTATCGTCGAATTCCAAGGAAACTGGTTATTTTTTTAATTAACTAGTTGTGTACTATATTCCATAAATTGAACAAAATATTCTGGTCACTGTGTATCTGATGAATTTTTCTGATTGTTCTTTCCTCTTCAGCTACGGTGATCATTATGAGTGGAATAAAGCAGTCACTTGCATCCACAATGTGTTCAGTCAACAGAGATCGCTCGAGCACTACGGTGACATAGTCATTCGTAATCTCAACAACAATGAGTGCACCTGCAAGATCACATTTGTCAAAGTGAGTTTTAGTTGTTTTTGTATTTCTTCACTTAAACTATAAATATTCAGTCATTATTTACTCACCCTGGTGATGTTTTAATGCTGTATGACCTTCTTTCTTTTTCAGACCACAAAAGGAGCTTGCACTCCATGTCATGGAAGTTAATAGTGACTAGCTTCAAGCGTTAACAGAAAAATGTAAAAGTATCAAAGAATAATCGTATACGACTTGTGCCATAAGTGTTCTGAGGGCATCTGATAGGATCTGGTTGTAGGCCTGGGCTGTTGGTCTGTTGTACATGACTGAACGTTCATATTAGCAAAGTGCACAAGTGCACAGCTTTGAGTAATCTAGATTTATCTAAACAAAACATAAAACACGACACTCAGAAAACCCCCAAAAGCATTTAAGTTTGTGTATATAAGTGTAAATAAGTTTACTTTCTTCTCCAAGGTGAATATCTCCAGACTAGAATTCCGGTTGTCAGTTGACAAATGTGAATGTGAGAACTTACTTTGCTGTTGCAACAACAGAGATATTCATTAGAGAATAAAGTAGTGCATAAATTTCTAGGAGCTGTGAGTCACGTTTTGTTTTAATTTCTCAAAATGTTTCAATCAAATGATTGAATCAAGATTAAATAATCTCGATTTCTGCGCTATAATAGTCTCATTCAAAGCAGATCGGCCAAGGTCGGGATTTTTTGCTAAATAATTACAGATTGAAATGTTTGCTAAATTAATATAAATTACATTTCTGGGGGGGGGGAAAACATAAAACACGACACTCAGAAAACCCCCAAAAGCATTTAAGTTTGTGTATATAAGTGTAAATAAGTTTACTTTCTTCTCCAAGGTGAAGAACTAGAGTTCCGGTTGTCAGTTGACAAATGTGAATGTGAGAACTTACTTTGCTGTTGCAACAACAGAGATATTCATTAGAGAATAAAGTAGTGCATAAATTTCTAGGAGCTGTGAGTCACGTTTTGTTTTAATTTCTCAAAATGTTTCAATCAAATGATTGAATCAAGATTAAATAATCTCGATTTCTGCGCTATAATAGTCTCATTCAAAGCAGATCGGCCAAGGTCGGGATTTTTTGCTAAATAATTACAGATTGAAATGTTTGCTAAATTAATATAAATTACATTTCTGGGGGGGGGGGTTACCAAACCTATTATGTGCCTTCAGAACACTTGTAAACCATACATTTGATCAATCTGTGATACTTTTGACTTTTTTTTTTTTTTCTTGTGAAAGCTTGAAGCTGGTCGCTATTCAGTGCCATCATATGGACCAGCATAAGCTTTTTTTATTTCTCCTTTTGTGGTCTGAAAAACAAAGGCATTAGAACAACACCAAAACACAAGAAGGGGTTTTCCCCTTTTTTCCTTTTTCCCTGACCACTGGCACATTCTGCAACAAAGATTAATAAAGTCAACAGATTTTACGGTAACTTTATAATAAGGTTCCATTAGTTAATGTATTAACTAACATTAACAAAGATTAATAACGTAATAAACATTGTTCATTGTTAGTTTTTGTCAGTTAATGAAAATACAGTCGTTCATTGTTAGTTCATGTTAATTCACAGTGCATTAACTAATGTTAACAAGCAAAACTTTTGATTTTAATAATGCATTAGTACTGTAAATGTTGAAATTAACATTAAATACGGAGTTCTGGCATGAAACTGTAGATGGCGCAGTCCGATAGGTCTACCTCAATCTGACCTAATGACATCGTTATCACTTGGCACAGCTGATTGGTTCTCTCCTGTATCGGTAGCCAATGAGCTCGCTGCTCAACATTCAAATATATGACTAGTGCTTGCCGTAGCAGTTGCAGCTTGCTTCAGAAACCCTCCACCATCTGCTACGAGGTGATACATGAAATAACCCCTATATAGCATACATGAATGTTATATTTGCAGCAGCAATATTTCTTACATGCACACAGCAGCATGTTGTGGATGTATTGGCAGCAGCGCAGCAGCAGGCCAAGACCAAATACATTAACATTGTCATGTACATTACCATGGCAATCTCTCTGAGAGTTCTGAGAGTTGAACTACCCATTTTCAGTACAGAAAATTCTTCTCTAGTAGCATCTTAAGAGTTCATCCGGAGATTGTATAAGATGATTGTATATTTAGGAAAGAAAACATCATCACAACATCAGATATTGCAACAGTGCTGCATCATATGCAGTTATGTCCATGTATGTAAGTTTTTGGTCCAACTTGTTAGCGAACAGATGGCTTATTTAGGTTTGTTGGCTAAAAGTAGTGATCTAGTTCGTTTTAGGTAAGTAATTGTTTTGTGGAAATTGTTAACCCCACTACCTTATATAAAGACAAATGCTCTAATTCATACAAAAGTAAGGTACCACACTGCAGATGCCATTTGTATTCCATTAACTGAAACCAAGCAGCAATAATGATGTTGATTTATGCTGTGGTTTGAAAGATCTCGCCACAGTCTGTAGGACAGTATGTAATTCCCCTGAATTCAATTCCTATGTGCACCCATCATTTAAGTGATGGACGAATGCAATTTATTACATGAGTACAGCAATGGAGTGCAGCAATGACCCTATTGGTTGATCTTAGATGGGAGCCCTGCCAGAGGAGACTGCTGCAGTGAGCTCACTCAGGGTTCAAAATTACAGCTGATACCCAGAGACTCTGAACTTCCAAAGTTTGAAGTTGAACTCTAGTGCAGATTCAGGCATCGCCTGGAAGTTGGAACCAAGTTTTCCAGGTTTCTCGGCATCCCTCTTAGAAAGATACAAAGTGAGATGTTAGTTTTTGAGTTGGCTCAGCAACACGTATTTGTGGAGTGTGTCATTTCTGCACCAATAGCAGCACCAAACAGAGCTACAATTGGCCGTATTAGAAGAACACACGCATTCCAGTGAAAATTATATAGAAATTGGCTCTTAAATTGCTCCATTGAATTGAAGCAGTCAATTTTGTAAGAGTCATTTTACGTATTTACACAGGAATTCTGCTCCACATCTGTCTGCCATATGTTTGTTCAAACAGGAAGTCCTGCCACCAGTTTCAAACCATTATTTGAGCCATAAGCTGACATGTTGGACCACTCAAACAAACAAGCAAAGTTTTGAAAGTTTTACCAAGCGACAGTATTTATTTTCTTCTGGGAAGTCAGTCTACGACTAGCTTACTTCTTGCCAGCGGCGTCATCCACCTGTTTTTGTGAGGGGGCACCACTGGCTGTCCTGGCTCAGTTGGTGCCCTAGGCAAGATAAGACATGACCAAAGACAAAACAAATCTTTTTAACAAGTTCGTAGTTCTAAAAATATGGAACATGTGTTTATTCATTGTTACAGTTTTCTTTCATTGTACAAGGCAACACACATACCACGCTGTATAATATATTTATACAATGGTCATGTGACTGCATAGTATTAAAAAAAAAAAATAGAAAAAAAAATATTGCTAACTAGCTTAATCACACAGGCCTCTTAAAGACCTCAGTGACTTATTACACAGACTGCCGCGCCATATGCCACAGACGTTCACTTCCTTTGCACAGCTGATTGGTTCTCTCCTGTATCGGTAGCCAATGAGCTCGCTGCTCAACATTCAAATATATGACTAGTGCTTGCCGTAGCAGTTGCAGCTTGCTTCAGAAACCCTCCACCATCTGCTACGAGGTGATACATGAAATAACCCCTATATAGCATACATGAATGTTATATTTGCAGCAGCAATATTTCTTACATGCTCACAGCAGCATATTGTGGCTGTATTGGCAGTAGCAAGTCTCGGTACTTGCTCTGCCACAGCAGCAGCAGCAGATCTATTCCGCCAAGACCAAATACATTAACATTGTCATGTACATTACCATGGCAATCTCTCTGAGAGTTGTCATGACAGAACTAAGATTAATAAATGCTGTAGAAGTATTGTTCATGCTTAGTTGATGTGAACTAAATTAGTTAACTAATGAACCTTATTGTAAAGTGTTACTGATTTTACTAATAGACCTACCTATCTCTGTGTAAAAACAGTAAAAACAGTGTCTTTCTGAAGTCATTATTACCCCTCTAATTTGGCTCTGAATCTCAGGTGAAGCCCAGATAGCCCAGATCAGCAAAGCTTTCTATATAGTGTAGTTCACTACATAGAAAATAATCAATAAGTTATACTGGTAGTAAAACACTCATCTGTGCACCAATAAAACGTGCAGCACTTTGTATGTTTTTGTACAACATTTGCAACTGCTTTTTATCACTTAATTAGAAGCACCACAATTAATAAATTATCTCATCTGTTATAGAGACTACTGAACAGACATTCAGAAGTTTATTTTTAAATGCAAAGTATTGAAAATGAAAATAAGCACTTGCATTTTTACAACACTATAAGTGTGTCTCATCGGGTAATGAGAAGTTCTACAGACACTTGTGATCACAAGTGTATGTAGAACTTCTCATTACCCGATAATTTATGCCCACTTGAACACTTGGGCCAAATACAGGAAATACATCATGTAAGCAGACAAGTGGTCAAGTACAAAGACTACAAATGTGGGTATATACCCCACTCTCTAACTGCTCACCACTGCTGGGCGGGAGATCAGGTAGAGTAAGAACTGATGTGTTGTTGTGGAGGTGATCAGGTGCACGCAGTGTTGGGGCGTAACTAGTTACATGTAACGGAATTACGTAATTTAATTACAAAATAAAAGTAATTGTAATC